ATTAGTTTTTTATCCCATACCGTACCTATATTTAATGTGTAAATGATGAAACTGTTGTTACGAATGATCTACCTGTAGGTTTGTTTTAATATGTGTATTCTTATTATTTTAATATTATAAAACTACGATTTTGAATAAAAATAAATTTTTAATGAATGAAAAATAACTTCGTAAAAAAATTACGTCGTTATTGATGGATGATTCTTTCAAATCATGTAGAAATGCGTCAAACACGTTCTTTTCGGAATAGATCTAATGGCATCACTGATGATTCAAAAGTGTATATTATGTACCATTTGTCTTGATTTTGTATTTTTTTAATTTTGCCCAATGACTTGGACTAATGATGTTTGAATATAAGCGCCCACTATCGGATCAATATAAAGTTTTCATAATACGATTTAGTCTCATGAATTTACTTGTCCATAATTTTGCAATTTAGAACTCTTCATTTATTATTGTGTATAGTTGACCTAATATCAACTTCTCTTGTGACAGTTGACGGTCTCGTTTTGGAATAATAAAAATCTTCATAAACAATGGGACTTAACACTTAAACACTGATTATTGTATTGTTGCATATTTTTGTCCCTCTAATTTATGGTTGCTACATCATGCGTATATTGTCATTGTGCCACAGCTAATTTATCTTTATTACCTACTCCGATAATAAATAATAATCATATCATATCGAATTTATATCTTGCTATATCCGAAAACATAATTTTAAAAACAAGTTTTGTTCAAACCCCACTTATCACTGTCCATGTATCGGATAGATTATAGTCGCACGTGCTAAGTAGATCATAAGTAGCAACGAAAATATATCTATAGTTTTGAGTTTTGTTAAACAACATTGTTTTTTATTTTTGTAGCATTAAAGTTCAAACCATAAGGTCTTACGCTAGTCAGTTCTAACGTTTCTAACCTCAGATTGTAAGAATTTTTATCATATAAGCATATATTTACAATCTGTATATTATATAAGAACAATGTACAACAGAATAAGTAAAAGTTATGTTAGAATAAGATAAGTAGACGTGTTATGCTTGAGGGGAGGCTGATAAGGAGTGTCCATTAACAGAATGACATCAATTCAAAGTTCAGAACTCATAATTTAGATGTATAGTTTGTTTGTTTTATCAATAGTTAAATTATCTTAATAAATAAATAAAATGATTAATAAATTATTACAATCAATCTTAGCACAGATTTATAAGGTCTAAATAAGAAAATTACATTTCCAATCTCTAATACCTTTAAATCGTTATTTATATATTTTATACATACATATGTATATGTATGTACATACATGTTGTGTATTTGTGTATATTATAATTTATATTTTTCTTATACCACATATAAATAGTTATATATATGATTATAAGGTTAAATAGAATAAATTACATACATTTGACAACAGATATGTGCAAAGTATTTCCATAAACTACTATAAAACCCCACTGCCAATATTGTCAAAAGTATCTCAGATCCATGTAATCAACTCTATAATATAATTTATACTATTAACTTAAAATTAATTTATATTAAACTGAGTAAAGATAACCTTATATTTACTTAATTTAAACAAGGCAAAAATTAAAACTAAATTATCAGGAGTATTATTGATTTAATATAGAATAATGCATAGGTACTATTTAAGTTTAATTCTATTCTGTAATTAGTATAGGTAAAATAAGGAATCTAACAAAACTATTTATAAAATGATAACATTTTAGAATATTATGAGTATTTTTTAAGTAAAATCTAATCACCAGTCTAATTATTCAATGAAGTTATTTAAGTATTTATTTATCAATGTTAAATTAAAATTTACTATTTCAAGTTCACATTTTTAAATTGTTATTTGAATATTACTATTACATTCAAAACCAAGTATGTTACTCATTAATCATCACAGTCCAACAGATATTTATTAAGAATATAATATCTTAAGAAATTCTAATACTAACTTAATATTTTAAATTATAATAATAGATTTTTTCTCCTAATTAATTAATTAACGTATACAGTTATATAAAATAAAAACAATTAAGGATAATGTAAAAATAAATCAATAAAATAATACAATTCGTACAAAACTTGATTAAAATAAATTCATGAACACGAGTTATTTTGTTCATGTACTTATATAGTTTATACACCAAAATGTGGCACAATATATGGACTATGATAGAGCAATTTTGTTTCTTTCAACTCTAAAATAATAGATATAATTGAATATTTTTTAGGTTAAATAAACTTTCTTGTTGTTTACTGCAATGATTTCATTAGTATGTCTTCTTTACATTATAAAACTAAACAATTTAATTATAATAGATTAAAATACACAAATATATTAACAAATATACACATATTATGATAATATATGCATAAGAAAATACTTAATGGTCAATTCTTGTAAGTTCATAACAAAGTTGATGACCTTGTAACCATAATACAATATTATATACGATAATAAAAAACTCGGAAAGCCTATTTTTTGAATATAATAATACATGAAGCAAAAAAGCTCCATTAATGACAACTACTTGCAGGGAGAGAATTCTGTAAAAATAAATATATTAATTAAAAAAACCTAATGTGATGTTAAGATTATATAATTACCCTATGCACATTACATATAGTCATATGATTCTGACTATCAAGAAGCCAACCAACATGTATTGCACAGTTATAATGTATACATGATTTGCAGTGACGTGCTGTACATCCAATACTAGCCCCATTATCACCACAATAAACACAAATCTATGCAAAAAAAAATGATTTAATATAATCTATATTTCAATATTACATAAAAATACTCACAGTATTTTTTGCAATTCTCACACTATCTTCCAACCCAACTATTTTATCCCCGACCATATAAACACCAGATGCCCAAACTAAACAATTTTCATGAGTCCATACCTCAATAAATGTTTCTGAAGTATCATTATCACTTATATTATGCTTAGATTTCTGTAAATTACATTTTAGCCATATAATATATTTAGTAATAAAAAAGTGATTTAAATACCTTTCGCTTAGGGTTATCATTTGGTTTTACTATCTTTGGTATACTGACATAATAAGGACCAAAAAGATCTCCAGTAGGATCATAGCCAATGTCTCTTACATGAGGTCCTCGCGAACAGAATACACATTTCCAATCACTAATTTCTAAATTGGTCACATCGGGTTTATCTTCACCATTGCAAACACTAGATTTATATGCTTTTAGAAAAAATTAAACAATTAAATAAATTTATGTAAAAGAAAAAAACATCTATCAAATATTTGTACTAAAACTTACAGTAAGTCTTTCGATTAATATTTCGACCATCTAATGAGTCTTCGTCATCTTGAATATTTCGGTTAATTATAACAAAACTTGTTGGATTTTCTATGTTACCACCATTGATTCTTATCAATGGACCTTTATATTTTTTAATAGGTTGTTCAACATACGGTTTTAATTTTTCAACTATGGGTAGATTTTTTTTGTTTTTATTAAATTGTTTTTTATTTTTATTATAAGGCCTTTTGGTAGGAATTATTGGTTTTGATTTATTGTCAATCACTATTTGTTGATCAGGTGTACTAGTTGATGTAATGACTCCACCAAATAATTCTTCTAATTTATTTTCTACTTCAAGAATTTGAGAATGTGTGTCATGAATTTTTTTTGAAGAATTTTCAGATGGTATACAATCCTCAGATTTATCATGTTCTATTCTAGGTATAGGAGATGGTGATTTAAGTATCTTTTCTACAGATTCTGCCCTCATCATTGAAGGTGATGGTGATTTCATCGGTTTTACAATTTTAATAACAGATTGTTTTTCAGACTCATTTGTTTGAAACATGTTTTCTAACATTTTTTCAACATTATTTGTATCTTCAACTTCAACTTTTACAGGACTATCTACTAAATCACAAGATATCTTAATATCATGCTTACTACATTTGTTTTCAAAACCTTCATTATTAACATTTTTTACTTTTTGAATATTTATATTATCTGTGACATCACATCTGGTTTCAGATTTAATAACTTTATGAGGGTTTGGTGCTATAACACTTATTGCTTTCTCTTCAATAGTTCCTACATTAGATAAATTTATCTGACYATTTACTTGATCTCTGGCTCGTTTAAAAGAAAAACTTTCATACTTTTTATTATTTGAGGACAAGTCAATAGACATTTGCTCTGATTCTTTTTTATGTTTGGTAAGATCAATCTCAACAATTCGAGATAATGAAAAACTAGGTGATACATTTGCAGAATGCGCTGGACTAGGAGATGGTGGATCAGGCCTAGATGGTGGCGGCATATTATTTCTTGAATCCATCCACCTATCAATTACAGGAGTATGTTGGGGTTTGTGCATCTGCAATGCAGCAATATTGTGTAAAGAAGCATATGGTGTATTTCTGTAAGCTGCCATATCTATAATCCGATAACAATTAACCTTAACACTTGTCAAAGAACAATTCAATTAATTATTTACCTTGTTTAGTAAACCATGAAGATAGCTGATGAGAAATTGCAGGAGGATGGAATGTAAGTGGATGAGGAACAGAAGGTGTTGCAGCAGTTGCCAAATGATGTCTTTGAGGTGCTGGGGCTGCTGGGGGTAAATGATGATAAGATGGAAATCTTCCCTCAGACATTTTTATTCTACAATATTAATAAAAGTAATGATATATTTTTTATTGTGATATGACTTATTGTATAGATTAAAATTATGTTTCTAATATTAAATATTTTGAGTAATCATTAATTTTTCGTGTTATCACAATGTAAATTTTACCCAAGGGTTAACATATTGTAAGGTTATTCTATTTGGAACCCAAAACATTTTAAAATATTTTATTAAATAAAAGAGCTCAAATATGTATTAGTTATTACAACAATCA